CATCGAGACAGGCCTGATTATAATAGGAAGGAACACTATCAGCATCACGTGGCAGTCATGTGAGATGTAGTTAGTCAGTGATAGGTCTTTCATCGAGACTAGGCTCTTGATGTTGGAAGAGAAACCGGTTAGCTCTTTGACACCCTAAGCCACTAGCACACCACCCTCTTCTTGTTTGTAATCAGGTTGTAGCTGGCACCTAGGATGTTGACTTCCCAATTCTTTGGTTGTCCCGGCTGAAGCTCCGGCTTTATAACTTGATTGATAAGATCCATCCATGACTTGAGACTATCCTTCATCTTTCCCTTGATTTCTAGTAGGAGGCAAATTGTGTTTTCAAAGACATTCTTCTCTAGGTGCATGCCATCGATGGCATGGGCGCTTCCAACTTGTTCTGGTATGGCAGGTGCTTGAAGAAAATTGACTTCTTGAGAGGAAAGGCGTCTGCCTCCATCTTGTCCTACTTTCTCTTCCTCATCTTATTCCCCACTTTTTTGTTCTTTCCAAAGATGACCTCCATGTCCTTCACCATGAGAAACACTCATTTCCTGTAGCTCTCTAGCGCTGGTGGGATAGATTCAGGCTTATCCTTGTTGTTAAAGTACGTACTTATTCATCAGACTAGAGCAATACCTGTGTCGTCGAGGCGGCGTTGCAACTCCGCAAAGAACTTTGCATCTTTAGAGTCATCCAAACCTATCACCACCACCATCACCGTGGACGTCCGCATCTTGACAAATTCATCCAACGTGAAAAAATCATCCTCATCAACACCGTGATTGGCTGATGAGGTTCCACCATGATCCTCTATCATGGCAGATTGATGGTGTGCCTACACCGTTGTTCTTCCAGATGCAACACTCGCATCTCTTTTGCCATAAAACATCCAAACCGTGTGGCCATGGACAAAACCTCACTTGATATTTGACTTCACAACCATCTAGCATCCATACATGCTTGTTCTTGTAGCGAGAACACAATCGATGCACTTCCGATTCTCACTCAAAGCATGCTTCCGAGCGCTGACAACAAACTTCGTCACTTGTTCTTTGAAATGTGGTGTTAGCCTTGATTTGTTATACATCCATTATGACCTTTTCATGATGGTAATAACCTTGTAGCAGGAAAATTATATATACTATAGATGCATCAATATATGAATCATCTTATATACTGAGATGGCGCATGCATAACTTGTATATCTCTCTTTCTCTCACACAAACAAAAATATACATAAATGCCACTAATTATGGAGCTAATTACTCTATGTATACTTGCATACTTGACATACATACTACCCTAGATGGTCTAGTATGATCATATACTCCGTCTACGTACACTTCACCAGGCCATATACACCCTCAATCTACATATATACACATGGGAGTAAGTACGCCCTGGGAGTAGAAAATAATTTCCATATATATATATATATATATATATATATATATATCTTCTCTCTCTCACAGAAACAAAAATATGCATGCATGACACAAATAAAACCAACATGCTGGACCTATACCACCATGCATGAACTAGCACCATAAATATATTCTCATTTCTCTCTCGTTCCACCATAGATCTAGATCTAGACCATCCCAAAAGCATCAAAAACTTCGAAAAAGAACACAAAAAAGGATCTGAGAGCATACGAACCTCCAATGGCCACCTCCCTCAAAGAAAACAAGATCAAAACCTCCCCCCTTGAAAAATGGAGTTTTTTCGCAGTTCACCCTGTCAAAATAAATGGGAGAGCTCATGGAGGAAGATGAAATGGTTGGGATGTTGTATTTATAGCCTTTCATTAACGGAGGCAGGCATCCTAAGACGAATAGAGGTGGGCGTGAGTTGTCTTAAGGGGACTGCCTCCGCTAAGGACCCATTAATGGAGGCGGACGCCATAGGAAGCCCGCCTCTGTTAAGGGGACCGTCTCCGCTAAGGGCACTGTAGCGTGTTGCAAGACCCATCTAGATCTAGATTTAGGAAGAGTCCAGAAGCTAGGTTTGCTTGTAAGTCAAGTCAAGTCGAGTCGAGTCCTCCCTATAAATATAAAGGGAGATGTATCTTTTGGAATTAAGCAAAAATAGTTTGGGGTAAAACCCTCTACCTCTCTCCCTCTCTTCTCCTACCACCGCCGCCCCCTGCCTCACAGCGCCTCCATGCCCTACCGCCGCCAGCAGCAGCAGCAGGCGTCGGCAGCTGCCACCGCCACCACCCATGCCGCCCGCCGTTCCACCTCCTGATCCAGCCGCCGTGGCCGCACCGGTCACCATCAGCCAGGCCAGCTATAGTTTGCTGCTGCTGCCGTTCCCTCCCTCTCTCTAGGGCGTGATCAGCACTAGGGCTTCCGCTCCTCCCCTATAATCCCCCAATCCTACCTCTAAATCAAGGGGAAGTCACCCCCCTAGATCGGACGTGTGACAGCGGTCTTCTCAAAGTGTTCACCACTGTTAATGGAGCATTAACGGAGGCGGTCTCCTTAATATGACCTCCTCCGTTAATGGTTAACAAAGGTGGATGTTTCTGTCTGGGCGCGCCCTCCATTAACAGAAGTGGCATCCTTTTGTGCTCGCCTCTATTAATCCTAGGGGTCAATCTCTCAAAATCTTTTTAGTAGTAGTGAGTGATGCCCATTTCACAAATCACAAAATAAAAAAGGAAAAAAAACACTGCGCGCCGGCCAGGGGAGATTTGTGGGTTGGGAATAGAGAGATGGAGAGGATAAGGAACAAAAAGAGAGTGCAGTGGGACAGGGAGGCATTCGCGGATGTGAAAGGCTAGGGACTTTAATGCATTGAAATAAAATTTTGGGTCTATAGACATGTGTATCACTATTGGTTGGTAATATATCCCGGAAGTTATAAGTTATTTATCAGTGCTGGATGGTTTTAAAATCCGGCAGTAAGAGGCTTGTTGATTTAGAACCGACAGTAATACTCGATATTATGACCGGTTTTAAAATATCCAGCAGCGATGGACCATCAGGAATTGTGTATTTTGTAGTATTAGTTTAGATGATAGGCTCTACCCTAGGCCCTGTAATTTTGCAATCATAATTTGTCGAACACCTACACCACATGTCAACAGATTGGACTGCATAAAGGGCCACAGGGGCGGATGGGCGAGAACGGACTCACCAGAGTCATGACTGATCAAGTAGGAAGATACGCCCACACGTTCTAGGGCAATCAGTCCCTCGGCGCGGCATGCCGGTGTCTCTCTTGCGCCTTGGTGATGGTTATGACGTTTGGGCTTGACCCTAGAGACTAGAGTCATGGCAATCTCATCTCTCTTGACGTTTCGCCTAGCTTGAGCACTGGAGTTGCTGCGCCTAAGCTATACGTACGTACGCATCCTGGGGGCCCTTTGATTTCCGAGGCCTGGGGCGTTCGATCACCATGCTCCCACTAACTGAAAGTAAACCATCTGTGGCTGCCACACACTAGCAAAGAAAATTGAGCACCACCAGACTCAAACAACTGATGGTAAGAACCATTGTCTGTGGTAGTCTTCCTTACAGTAGTTTATAAAAGAGAACACAGATGGCAAAGCGTCACTAGTAAGAAACATGTTCTTGCCGCACATCATGATTTTAGAAAACCGCGGAAGAAGGAAGGCTAGCAGGGAAGGTTCAGGGGAGACACGGTCATTATAGATACAAGAAACAGCAAGGGAAGGTTCAGGGGAGACACGGTCATACCTTCCTTGCCGGAGGCAAGGGGAGTCCCGGCGTTGGCCGTGTCCCTGAAGAGAAGCACGACGACGTCACCGTCCATGGCCGGCGCGAATGCCCTGGTCTCGCTGTGGGTGCACCGAACAAGTAGTAGAGAGGACAGCTCTCAACGAGTTGGTGGCACTGCTGACCTCCTCGACTTCCTTCACCTCGCGCCACGGGATTTGACGTTATGCAATACCATTTGGCACGAAGTAGCTTCCTTATTATATATTAGATCATCTCGAGCGAATAAATTTTAGTCAATTTTGATAAAATTTAAATGTGCAAAGGTGAGGTTTTCGTTCTTTTGATGTGAGTCTGCATATTTTATTCAAACTCATATGTATCTTTTATGCAAATCTAGTGGTGAACTTATGTGTCTACTTGTTGGTGAGCTGAATTGGGTTGGATTGAAACTATAAAATTTCGGGATGAGTTGGGGAATTTGGGGTGGATAGAAGACTTCATTTGCTATGGGTTTGGGTCGGGTAGGGGGTGGGTTTCAACCCATTATATCAGAGCTACTGACTAGCATTGATGCTGTGCATTGGCATTGCACTCGTCACCCAGTGAATGGTGGTAGTAGGAACTAATTAACTAAATTAGTGTACTGCAGTGGAATTCACCATGGGAAGTGCGTCTGACGAGGAGATGTTGGACGTGGATCCGGAGCAGGTCCCGAACGGGCCGAGAACTCAGTCTCCAGCAACAAATCAGGAAGCGCCAGGGGAGGTAAAATATTTGGAGCGATGATTGGCAAATGGCGACGACTAGTTGTGCGCCAAACATTAATGTCATTTATTGTCATTTTCCATCTTCTTTTAGTAACTAAATCACATACTACAGGTCGTAATGGCTGAGCTTCCATACACGTACACCATCGGAGATCACAGGTCGTTCACTGAATTCATAAAGGATCTACGTGGCATCCTCGCTGATCACCAAGACCGTGAGGATATCTGTGATTGCCACGTGGACCCAAATATCTCGAGTAGCCAAAAACACCCACTGCTCCCGAAGCCGCGTGCTGAACAACCGGTGAGGTGGATTCGCATCAAGCTGCAAGTGGTGGAGGGCGAGGAATCGTCGTCTTCCGCAACCCTACTCATGAGGGATGACAACGTGGATGTGATCGGCTTCATCAACCAGTCTGGAGTCTGTTACGATTTTGCCGATTGAAACAGAAGCGGCCACCGGATGCTCCCTCCAAAATACAAGTCAGTACTTCTAGGCTGGGGCAACAGCTACAAAAGTATACTAGGCGTCAGAAAGGAGGAGGAAGTCATGGATAGACTCACGTCCGCAAACTTGGGCAAGAACTTCGCGACCCAAGCCGTGGATGTGCTGTCGCGCTTCGACCCAAATGTAGTGGTGGATGTTTACAACTCCAGGCGGGCCGTCGTGGGCCTGATGTTCATGGTCTCCGAGTCCGCAAGGATGAATCCTGTGCGCGACGCCATTGCATGTGGCTGGGACACCGGGACAGGATTCACCAACCAATTGATGACAGATTACGTGTGGAAATATGTAGAGATGTCAAGGCGTCTGAGGCATTGGAAGAGAGGAAACTATGCGGAACGGCGCCCCGACTCGGAGCTAGGTGACATCTACCTTGTGCTCAACGGTAATCCCTTTTCTTTGAAGTGTGCATTCAATCCTTTAAAGTATGACCATTTTCAAAATATTATTGCATTTTTTAGGATATGATATATCATTGCCACACCGCTGATCCCTGTTTTTTTTGTATTTCTTGTAAAAAGTACTACGCACACACTAGTCCGTCAATTTGTGCTAAGCATGGACTAAAATGGTTAAGGAACATAAGCATTATTAATTCAACAATAAATTTAAGAACCACATTGTTCGCACACAATAAATTTAAGAACTGACCTTGATACACGGTTAAGATTGATCCTTAAAGGCGGTGGAGCACCGACGTACAAGCGGGGGCTGACCAGCGGGCCCCATGGGCCGGCCGGCCCCACCCAGGCTCCTCTCAGCCCGATCTTTGATGATCTATCCTGGATGGTGGATTGGAGGTCCTCTAACTCGGTTTCGTCGCTGATGATCGTGATTTGCTCTGACGGATAGGTCCACTTTGCCTGTTTTTTGATTAAATCCTCCTGCAGACATAGATTCACCAACACTTGTGGAATTTGTTAGTTTAAACCCCTATGCCTATGTTGGTGATCATATTTATTCAGTTTTTCATGTTATATTGATGGTTTATTTTGAGGGTTAATGACCGTCAATAGTTTGCAATCCTTATCACTAGCTTGTTTTACTTGTACATACTTGTGCTAGTGTTGTTGTTCTTGTGTAGCTAAGTAGCCTTGCTTAGTTTGTGTAACTAAGTAGTTGTTGCCCTCTAGTTTAGCTTATGTAGCTTTGCTAGTTGAGTAGTGCCATTGTGGCTTAGGCTTTGTGCGCTTTGCTAACTAGTATGAGTAGGAGCTCCTGGTGTGTTTTGCTGTACTAGTTGCTTAGATTTGTGTGACCTTGCCTACGAGACTTGTGTAGGTGAGCTCTCTCTAGCTCGGCACCTTAGTTGCTAAATTAGGATCTTTGTAAGGTGCTTGTGAACATAGATAGAGGGGTGTAGTCTTGGCTAGACCGAATAGTCTATTTTCGTATTTGTTTCGGTTAGTCGGCGCATAATTAGTTTTAGAAAAGACTATTCACCCCCTCTAGTCAGCTAATTGATCCTATCACCCTTAAAGTAGTTCATCGGCATGCCAAAGGAAGGATCCGTGGTCTTAAGATCGAGAAGAAGACACCAATACAGACACACTAGGCATAACAGGTCCATAATCCGTAGGTTTCTTAAGACAAGCATTGTATTGCATACTATGAAACGTATTTATCATAGCCGCATCACAATCCGCCATCATTTTATTGAGTTGTTCCATGGTAACAACAGAAGATGTATTAATTACGGGTGGTGTTACCTTGGGTTCAGCAGTGGTTGAATGAGCAACCTGATTGACTACCTTGAATTATTGTTTTGCCACCCCTCCTCGCCGATCTAGCGAACAAATTGCAAGAGCGGTTTGTAGGTTAGTAGCGTTCTACTCCTCCACCATCTTACGGAGATCCTCTGGTAGTTGATCAATCGTCGTAGGATGAATGATATTGTCGGGGTTGAACGGATCCGTGGGATCACCCTCCTTCTTGTTGTGTTCTTCAGACACGTTGCTTGTAGATTGATCTTCTTTTCCCAGCGGAGTCACCAAAAAGTGTGTTGACGTCGATTTGGATCACACACCAGCAAAGATTAGCTTGTCCAAGGTCGCACACGACCTATCACGCAACAAGGACGTCCGAGATCAGTAAGACTGACCAGCCGGTTGGTAGAGCCGATTCAATGCCCATTCTTCGCCTGAAAAGCTCAAGAACACCTCTCGGAAAGATCCGTCAGGGAGGGGCACGTTGAGGTTGTCCTAAGGTCGGCAAGGGCCACCTAGAACGCCACCAAATCTCGTTGAGAGATGCGCCAAACAGCAGGGGTTGGAAAAGCTAGGGTAAATAAAAAAGGGTAATAGATGTTTTTTGATCGATTGGAAGTTGCATCCCTCAACTGGCCATGATCCTCCAATATATAGAGAGGGAGGTGGCCTTATCCTATTAAGAAACATATCCAAGACATAATTTACAATTTTTCCACGTCAAAACATGAGCTAGGACCGAGCTAAACTCGAAGCGGTCTCAGACCAGGCAAACTGGCCCTAGCCAGTATTCGCGGGGCTGAACGGTCCTTGCCAGACAGGATCAGAGAAGCCAGACAGACCCCAAAATCATCCTTTCTTCGTTTGAACTCGAAATTTGATGATTCAAATGTATTTCTTGACCGTCTTGACGTCGGGAACTTCATGTTGGAGGCCATTACACGTTTGCTAACGTTTTTGCTGTCAACGAAACATAGTTTGAGGCATATATTTAATATGAAAATCGATATACTCATAAGTTCTCGCATTCATAATGATATAGTTTATGTTAAAAAAGGTCGTTTTGAGACTTTTTTCTAAAACGACAAATGTAAGTAATTTTGATGCATATTTCAAAGTTAATTTAGTTTACTTTTAACAACGTCGAAAGTGAGTAATAATTTATTGATATCTCTGATGAGACGATACGTGGGTAATTAATTTGCTACAAATTAAGTTCAAAACTATAACTTGGTCTATGCGTGCGTGCGTGCATGTACATGTATATATTGGGTTATTTTTTTCTCATGTGTTAATTTAATTATTGTTGCAGTACATGCAGAACTGGTGTATACCATCGGAGATGAAATTTCATTCATTTCATTCATGACGGATCTACGTCGCAAACTCGCCGAGCATCCAGACAGTGAGGATATCTTGGGCGGCCACAAAGACCCAAATCTCTCCGAAACCGGAGATCATCCAGTGCTGGCCAAGCAGCGTGCTGATGAACAACCGGCGAGGTGGATTCACGTCACGCTGCAAGCAGTGAAGGGACAGGAAACGTCCTGGACAACCCTATTCATGAGGGATGACAACTTGTACGTCCTTGGTTTCATGAACCAGCAAGGAGATTCGTTCCAGCTGGTCGACGACAACCGGAATGCATCCACCAATATGGTACTCCCAATTACTAATGGACGCGATCCCAAACACCTAGAATGGGGCATCAGTTACAGATCTATGTTGGGAGCCAAAAGTAATGATCATGCCGTGCACAAACTGGAGGAGGCTCATTTGGGCCGTGATTTTGCGAAGAACGCCGTGCGCGTGCTGTCGAGCTACCCAAATCTGGTGGCTGGTCCATCTGAGGCCCAGGGTGGCACTGGCGGGCCCAGGGTGGCACTGGCGGGCCTGATCGTCATGGTCTGCGAGTCCGCAAGGATGAATCCTCCCCACGACTCCTTTTCACGTGGGTGGAGCACCGGCACGGGATTCGCCAAGCAATTGATGATTGAGAACTTCTGGGAACATGGGAAAATGTCAAGCAAGCTAATGGCATGGAAGACCCGAGGGTACGCCAGCAATGTGCGCACACCGAATTGGCAACCGCACCCCATTATGGAGCTACAAACGGTTCGCCTCGTGCTCCGCACCCATACACCTGATCAGTCTAAACAGGAAGAAAACAAGAAGAGCCAACACAGCAAGCCCGACAACGCTGGCAATGATGGTGATTATTATTCTAATAAGCCCGGCAACAACGGCGGAGGTGGCGGCCCTCCTAGGCAAAGCAGAGGGGGCCACAACGCCGGCGGAGGTGATGACACCGGCAGCAGTGGTGGTGGCTATGCTAGCCAACCTAGAGAGGCCGGTGGTGCCGGTAGCAGTGGTGGCTCTGCTAGCCAACCTGCTGGGGAGGCTGGTGACACTAGCCCTAGCCGAGGCAACAGCGGTAGCCAACCCGGGGAGCTTGACGTACGAAACCAGGGCAACGGTCGACCCCGGGTGGAGCTGTTGGCCATACGTGCTGATCTTCATGTCAAAGGCACAGAAATCGTCGTCTTTGACGGCAGACGAGGCCAGATCATCTATAGGAAGGAGGAAGGAGAAGAGGAGACAGAACAGGTATACATATATTATGTCTTACTAATTTGTCAACTTAGGGCCTGTTTGAATCCTTTTCTCTAAACTTTAGAGCTCTAAAAACATTACAGTATTTTAGCTCAATTTATATTTCTAAAGCTCTAATGTGAGGTGGCTAAAATTTAAAGCTAACTTTAGACCACTTGTTTGGAGACTTTAGCTCTAAAATTTAGAGCAGTTGATCAAACAGGCCCTTATATTCCCATAATCGCTACAATTTTAGGAGACATAATCATTAGGTAGTCACTAGTCCATCAACCTTTGCTTTCGCAGAGCTAGAATCATAGAAGATATAAGCATTACTTATTATTTAATACCTCTAACTAATAAAAAAATACTTAAAATAAATTGTATGTTTTTCTTTTTATTTATTTTCTAGCACAATCGGTATAAATAGATGCTCTGTAGACTATATCTAGTTATCATAAACTTATCAATTACTTTTTTGCAAGTAATTGATCTGTTTTTTTACCCATATTCACAGTTTTCTCTTTACATGGCACCTCTTTATATTTTGATTTTTTAAATTTGATCTTATTAGTTGCCTCAAATTTTTATACTCAGACTAAGGTGAAACTCTTGTGCTTATTGTATTTTTTATTATTTTTTTCTTTGTTTTTATTAAAAATAAGAAATCTTTAGATGTTCATATTTACTAGTAATACCAACAACTAATAAAAAAATATATTAATCTGCGCATTTTGTTTCTCTTTGTTCATTTTTCTAACAAAATACAGATATATAGATGATAAACTTATTAATTACTTATCTATTTATTTTTATCTATATCTATAGTTTTCCCTCAATCTATGCATGGCGCCTTTGTTTATCTTCACTAGTTGATTTTTTTTTTAAATTATGGTGGGTTTTTTCGCCGCCCATATCTCATGACGTCATGAATCGATTAATATTATGATTTTCAAATTTGATCATATTAGCTGATACAACATTTTATAATTAAGTTATTAAGTTCGAACTCTTGTGCTTAATGTATCTTTTTTAAATATCCTTTTGTTCAAGATTGATGGTAGAACTTGAAATGAAATCTAGAATGGGATAGCAGTGCTAAACTCAAGAGGATATTAATATCGGAGCATTATTATTATTGTTTACTCCAAACAAAATCTCAAACACCATATGGTCATAGACACTATTTCTTAGTGCTTCTTGTGAGTATTTGTATGCAGTAGTAAGATGATGCCTAGAGTATAGAAAATTAAAGGCAATTTGTTTTTGATCATTGCGAAAATTTTGCAGAATTTATCTTTTCTTTCTTTGTGTATCTTGGGAGGATTAGAAATAGTAAGATGTCTACTATATGAATCTTTTTTACAACCATGCCATATTAATCAAGCAGTGCATGCATGTAGGGAATGGTCGAGTTGGTTCTGACTGGACCCTACAAAGGCATCTCAGCTTACGGGTGCTTCGCCATTAAAATTAACATCCCACCTACCACTGCCAGCAGCAGCAGTGGCGATGCCGGTGGTCTCATCCAATGGGAATGGGACTGTTATGACCCCAAGTACGCCGCCCAAGTCGACCAACTACCTGTGAGCCATACCATCTGCGCTCCGGACATGCGCCCCGAGGTAGCTGAGGTCACCTACGTTGTGATGTCAGATGCCCTGGAGGCCACAGTGCAGGTCAGGCTGCGACTCAAAGATGGGCATAACACTGCTGGCATTGGTGGTGAGATCACTGCACGTATCGACGGCTTTGAAGACAAATACAGGAGCGTCCTCTTCAGGTGTGCAAAGGGGACGCGTCAGTGTTTCTCCCCTACCGATGACGACTCGTGGTTCCTTCTTGAGCTGGCGAGGAATGTGATTGCAGTGCCATGCGGCAGTGCGCTTCAAATAGAGGTGAACCTCCAGATTGAAACTGGCGATGGCAAGAAAGTTGAATTGAATAATGTTCCTCTCCGCTTCGCCAATGGAATTAGTTCCAGTAAAACTGACGACGGCAATGAAGTGGAAGTGGAAGTCACCTGGTACCCGGAGGTAAACATTATATTGAAGACATTTTTTTATCATCTGTTATTCTTTTAACGAATACTAATAATCTTGTTGTCTACTGGATGATTATTATATACTACTAATCCACTGCAGATCGCACGACCAATAAGTCACCCTCCGGAGCAAATAATAACCAGCAAAGAGGTTCATCTGGAGAAATCTATTACTGCTCCGTCGTCGTTAGAACAAATCATCAGTGGCACACTGGAGGTAAATTAAAGGAGGACTAGCTACTATAGTGCTTGCGCTAAACATTGAAGACATTTGTTACTCCATCCATCCCAAATTAGAAGTCATTCCAAGAATCTTGGAGACTCAAAGCATCTCAAGTTTGACCAAAATTATAGAGAAAAATACAAAAGTTTATGACATTAAATAGGTATAATATGAAAATATATTTAATAAAGAATCTAATGATACTTAGTTGGTATCATAAATGTTATTATCTTATTATATAAATTTGATCAAACCTGAGATGCTTTGACTCTCCAAGATTCTTGGAATGACTTATAATTTGGAACGGAGGAGTATCACTTTCCTTCTTTTAACTAAACTCTCGGGTAATGCATGCAGGCCAAAATGGTTTCAGGGCATCGAACTGTCGAGTACACCATCGGAGATGAACTGTCGTTCACTGAATTTATAATGGCTCTCCGTGGCATCCTCGCTGACCATCCAGACCGCGAGGATATCTTTGATCGCCACCACAGTTCAATTCTCTCCTCCACCAGAGAACACCCAGTGCTCGCCAAGCAACGTGCTGAACAGCCGGCGAGGTGGATTCACGTCAAGCTGCAAGCAGTGAAGGGAGAGCAAACGATGTCGACAACCCTAATCATGCGGGACGACAACTTGTATGTCTGTGGCTTCATGAACCAGCAAGGAGATTCATTTGAGCTCATCGAGAACCCGGATAGATCTGCCCATATACTCCCAGTTGATGAATACAATCCCCAACGCCTAAGCTGGGGTGTTGGTTACAGATCCTTACTGGACTTGGACACTAAAGGTGGTCTTGGGAGAATACTGGCGCACGTGAATCCGGGCCAGGACTTCGCCAAGGATGTCGTGCACGTGCTGTCGTGCTTCCCAGCTTGGGTGGACGATCGTATTTCACCCAGGTTGGCACTAGCGGGGCTAATCCTCATCGTCTGCGAGTCTGCAAGGATGAATCCAATCTACAACTTCTTTACAAGCTCGTGGAGTATAAGCACGGAAGATTACACGTTATTTTCCGACAGGCAATTAACCCAGGATTACGTGTTGAATAAATATGGGAGGATGTCACACCAGCTGCTGGCATGGAAGAGTAGAAGATATGCCAACCCGCACCCCATTTCACCGCTACGAGACATTTACCTCGTGCTCAACTACCGTTTGGATCCACCTCATCAGGCCGGTGGCGCCGAGAGCAGCAGCAGCTTCATGGACCTTTCTTGGTCGCGACATTGGAAGGCTGACGGCGCCAAGGACCGACCTCGGGTGGAGCTGTTGGCCATGCATGCGGACCTTGGGGTCCTTGGCACAACCGTAATAGTCTTCGACGGGAAACGAGGCCATATCATCTATAGGAAGCAGGAACAAGAAGAAAAGGTACATGTATTAGGTCATGTCTATTAACTAATCCCTGGTATCCATAATCTATATGAATCTTTTTCGCATGAAAGCAATAATAGATTAGATTATTAATGAAGCAATGTGCAAGGTTGTAGGGAACAATGGCTGATTTGGTGCTCACGGGACCCTGCACAAGCATCTTGGCATACGGGTGCTTTGCCATCAAAATTGGCATTCCAGGACCCTACACAAGCACTGGCGATGGCGGCGGCGGCGGCGGTTCCATCAAATGGGAATGGGACTGCTATGACCCAGAGTATGCCACGGAAGTTGACAAAGGACCCATGACTCGGACCATAAGCTCTTCAGGCCCCGGCCGCAACGTTGAGATCACCTATGCGGTGATGTCCAACGCCCTGGAGGCCACAGTGCAGGTGAAGCTGCGGATGAAAGATGGAAACAGCCCTTGTAGCGTCTACGGTGTTATTACCGCTAGCATTGGTGATTTCAAAGGCCAGAGCATCCTCTTCAGGCGTACAAAGGAGACGGCACAGCATCTCTCTCCAATGACGGACTCGCCGCAGGGCGTCCTGTATCAGCTGGTGCGGTCCCTTGAGCTGGCCAGGAACGTGGTTGCGGTGCCATGTGGTCAACAGCTTCACATAGGGGTGGACCTGAGCATTGAAACTTCCAAGAACCAAGGGGCTAGTATTAATCCGCGTTTCAATAATATTATTCTCACCTTCGACAACCGCAGTAGCTGGTCGAGTCAACGTCTTGAAGAGGACGGGTATGAAGTTGAAGTGAACGTCGCCTTGTACCCTTGTGATCGATATGACCCGGGACCATGGAAGGTAAACATTGAAAACATGACTGAGCACTCGTTGCTGAACACATTTCTTATGCTTTCCTTTTGTTTTGTTTTTCGCTAATCATCAGATATGTCATATGTAGTCTTTTGCTTGATCACTACTACATATGTACTGCAGATGGATAGGATGTGGCAACCTGACATATCCTACATGGTTGGGAATGATGCAGAAGGATTCAGTACATTCATCATTGAGCTGCGTAGATTGGTGACCGACCACCCACGCTGCAGGGATCTCGTGGCTGATCATCCAGATCTCTCATCCACAAGTAACAACAAAGTGCTCCAATACTCTCACCGCATCCAACCAGAAAGTTTGTTTCACATCAAGCTGGAAGCGGAAGCGGAGGAGGGCGTGGAAGAAACGTCATCGATAATCTTAGTCATGCAGTGTGACAACTTGGACGTAATAGGCTTCATCAACATGCAGGATCGTCGAGCCTGCTGCTACGAGCCTGGCCCTCGTCGGGAGCTCCCAGGAGAATATAGTTCAAAACTTCTACAGTGGTGGGTGCACCAAAGCGGCGACAGGGAGCAAATACTGGGCAAGACCTTCATGGCGGAAGCCGTGCGCGAGCTATCGCGCTTCACAGGTAGATATAGTGAGGAAGCCGAGCGGTCACTGGTGGGCCTTGTGATCATGGTCTGCGATTCAGCGAGGATGGAACCTTTCCGCGAAGCCATGGCAGGTGGCTGGAAGAACGGGACGGAACTCACCAAGCAACTTAGGGATTACCGATGGAATTGGCCAGTAATATCAAAAGCACTGCTGGACTGGAGGGATCACGCCTACCAAGGATGGCCTCAAAACAGGACGCTAGAATCGAACGGAATCATGAGCCCAGAAGATGCACTAAAACTTGTCCCCCTCGTGCGCAATCATCCGGATCTGATATGAGCTCGTCGTCGACCACCGTACTAGACTTCGCCAAATTATATATGTTATTTGTTGTATCCCTTTTAATTTGTCGTCACAAAATCATGTCGATCCGGCACTGGTTTATGGTCATATGGCGTGCGTGGCCTGGAAAACTTGTCGGGTTAGGGGCCCATGAATATATTTGGCAAATCAGGTACCTTTTTCCCTTTTTTAATCTTATCTAGTTTACAAATAAATAAATAAATAATGTCGTCCAGACTTGATGCGTGTAACCATTGGAGCTAGTATTTGTCATTTGATCTTGTAAACCAGACAGTACCGGCCGGTATCAAGAAACTATATGAGCAAATATAAACACCGCTGCATTTCGTTTAGCATGTAATGGTTAATTTGGAATCACAATAATACTGCTTGACATCTATGTCCTCCACTACGTGAAAAAGAGTTTATAGCAACGGGGCATTTTTTCTTTAGAGGCAGCTGGCATTGGAGCCGCCCTTACAGTGACGTGTTCGGGCTCCAGCACAGCAGCTGCCCCTACAAATAGCACAGCAGGGGCGGTTGGTAATACGAGCCGCCCCTACAAATGCGTCGATTTGTAGGGGCGGCTGGTATTACCAACCGCCCCTACTGTGTTCATTTATAGGGGCGGCTGAATCATCGACCGCCCCTACAAATGCCCGCTATATATATAGCGGCCAGAAAATTCTCTCCCCCTCCTCCTCCCCATTGGAACCCTAATCCTCTCTTTCCCTACTCGCGGAAGTCACCACCACTGACAGGGAAAGCGGAAGGGAAGCACCTCGGCCCCGGCAAGATGGTGCTCGCGCAGCTGGGCGGGATCTCGCCACGGTGATCGATGAGAAGGTGCTCGACGAATGCCTCAACGAGATCTCGCGCGTGCTCGTACAGGCCGATGTCCAGTTCAAGATGGTCCGCGACATGCAGGCCAACATCAAGCGCATCGTCAACCTCGAGGCGCTTGCCGCAGGCACCAACAAGCGCCGCATCATGCAGCAGGTAAGGGGCGTACTGGTTCGTCGCCTCATCTGCGCAATCCGCGCCCAATCTGTCAAGAGCTTCGAGGGATTTCTGTGTAATTTGGGGTTAATCTGTTCATCCCGTTGATTGCGTTAATTGATCTCTGTTGTTATTGCTGTAGGCTGTCTTCATGGAACTCTGCAACATGCTAGATCCCGGGAAGCCTTCTTTCACTCCCAAAAAGGGCAAGCCAAGCGTAGTCATGTTCGTTGGTCTGCAAGGTCAGTCTTCCTGTCGCTACGTTATGTCTCATGCTATGGTAGCTGCACATTTGCTCGAGTGACGTTTGCCAATTTGGTTGGGATTTGACTTGTTGTTGTTGTTATGGAAAGTGCAATCATTCACATCTTTGCTCTCTTACATTGGGAAAATCAGTTTTTTTATACCAAAAGTTAAACCTAACCTTATTTTATACCAGCATGCATGCTGGAAATATTTACAGTATAATACAATGTTTTGTAAAAGAAGTTATAGCTGGCATCTGTTCACTTACCCTTTCATAGTTAAACTGACCAATCATAAGGCCATAGCATCTGGTATGAATATACTGGAGAGCATATTGCCAGTTATGAGGTCAACCTGATGGTTATTTTCAAAATCAGTACAAGGAGAAGAAACCCTGATATGAACCTTGATTTCATGACCTGTATTTATGCTTCCATATTTTCTGAGTTACTTTTGCTCCCAGCACAGGACTTGGAATTTCTAAATAGAAATAGTAGACAATATGGTAGTAAAGTAGTTCTCACTTCTTTGCTCTAAACATTTCATGAAATGCAGTTTGTATTTTAATAAAGCCATGGTTGACTACCTTCATGGTTGCCGGATGAAATAGGACAAGGTTTTAGATTTCCTGTTGTTCTTAAGTCTTCCCAGGGTTCAGCCACATGGCCTCTTTGTTAGTCTTGTCTTGATGGCATGAGGAAGAAGCAAACCAACTGATCAAGGTTGAGTGGCATATACTTGGCCAGGCCTCACTTGTAACTTGGTGGCAATGATCCACAAGATCATGTCCTATCTGGACACACTTGGTGAACTTGGTATGAAACAAGGTGGAAAAGTAGATATTTGCTGTCCTAAACAAGGCCACTCCGATTTCTGTGGTGTTACATTCAGATCTTTACTTTGAACTGTTTGTCCTGCACTGAGTCACGATAATAAGTTTAAAATTACTTTGCTATAGTTAAAAATTAAGAGTGGCTTTTGCCACAGAATATTCTTTTATTTGAAGCACACTTTGATGCTATTTTTCAAGCTTAGTGTTATTTTCCATGGCCTCAATCAGTCTGAATGTTAGGACTTATCATGCTGAATTGAACATATATCATTTATGCCAACATCAACAAAAATTGGATGATTGATAATTTATTTTAGTTTCAAGTCTTCAACTATCTACATAAAGTGATTGGCAACAAGTGTTAAGCTATCAGAAATGTAACTTTACAAATGATCTTTAGTGTTGGTTGAATTTGCCCTGGTATTCTATTGGAAGTGATAAGTCAAAACCTGATTCTTTTTGGACATGTTTGATGTACAACAAGATGAAGATCAAGATGATCCAGATGAACGGCATGATCCTGACTCTGATATGGAAGTGGATGTTCACAAGGTTGTGGACGAGTCAGCGAGGTCTCTCTCTCCCTCCCTCCCTCTCTAGCCCCTTCCCTCTTTGAGTGACTGTACTCATTACGTTTTGGGTTTTATTTTTCATCCTGATGTGTGGCCCTCGTCAATTCTTGGTGTCAAAGCACGAATCAGCGTGCTAGGTTTCATAATAGTTTTGTTAACAACCAGGAATATAAGTCATGATGGAGTTGTGTATTGTCATGGAATATTTGTTATAATCTGGTATAAATAAATGTGTATTGTCATTGAGTTTCAGTACAATCGCAGAGTTGTGCATGAAAAATATATGTTATGGTCGAATTTGAATTGTAAATTTAATTTTTTTTTGCGGAAAATTGATTTGTAGGGGCGGTTGGTACTGTAGCCGCCCCTACAAATCGATTTGTAGGGACGGTCTGGGAATTACCCCTACAAATACATGATTTGTAGAGACGGTATGATAGGGGCGGCTGACCGAACCGCCCCTACAAATACTTATTAGCCGCCCCTAAAAACCATTTCTGACGTAGTGCTAGCTAGCAGTTGAAATCCTGCTCATGTCATTCCTTAGGTACCAACTGCTAGCTGAAGTTTGCAACGCGAGATTTACTTTGTTTTCCCAGTTGTGCCTTTGGGTTCCGTTTGTTTATATTACCTGAAACAGCAGGCCTTAGGACCTATTTGGATGCTTTGAAAAAAAATCATTTGTGACTGTCATACAGTTGTCAATTATATTTTCAGCTTTTGAGTTTTCAGGTAGATTATATAAAATCCTTCGCTGGTCCACGAACTTGATATACTCGGTAGGTAAGGATAGGGGGTCAAACGATCTCCTCTAGTCCAACTTAATAAACTATATATGCAAAAATAAGGGAAGGAATTATCTAATTAGTTCTTTAGTTGAACTAGGAGAGATCCGTGGATACCCATTTGGAGCACCATCCTCATCTTTATCGATAGGGATGAAAACAGAAGCGGAAAATCCTGCTCCGGACGATGTTGTATCCATATTTTCCCACCCGTATTCTGTTTTCTTAGGAAAATCCGAATACAGAATGGAACCAGGAAAACAGAACCGGCGCACCAGGAACAGCTTAATAAAAACGGGACAGGAAAGAGTTGACGCATTCTTCTGACCGTTTTAATAATGAAAAAAACGGGACTGAAAACAATTGAAGCGTTCTCCTGACTGTTTTGCAAGCAGTATTACTGCTACGCTAGATCACCTGCATCCTGAGACATATACTACGCAAGCAGTATTACTGTGGTGGTGCTGAAAAAAAAACTTGCGTGTCTGATAAAAAAAACTTGTGCATGGAAGCTGCATGCGCTCGGCAGCACGGCAACCACAAGTAGCTTCGTGTGGGCTGTGGCATGGTTCGGCCCATTTGTTGAATAGCGTTTGATTAATTATTTATTTGAATCTCACCTCACACCAACATGACACGCATGCATGCATGCAAGGAATCTTTTCTTGATTCGGTTCTTGAAAATGCAATTTCTCACAAACCGTAAGCCCGATCCCCGATCCGTTTAAAGATTATTGTTAAGAAAATCATGCCGAACAAAATGAGATCTATGAAGCCTATGATTTGACAAAGTTTTTTAAAACAAAAAGCAAAAAATGTTTTTAAACACAATTCTACGACCAAATGAAGCAGACAATTACTACTACTCAGTTATAACTTAGTGTGGTTTGTAGTTATAAATTGATTTTTCTTGTAGAGAAACAATTATATTTTCTCTGAAACACAACTCAACGAAATAAAATGACACAATTACAATATGAATTACTACTCAGTTACAATTTAGTGAAGTTTGTAGTTATAAATCAATTCTTTTTGCAGAGAAACAATTACATTGTCTAAAAAACACAACTGCAACCAAAGTAAAGGACATAGTTACAATATGAATTACTGCCCAATTACAACTAGTGTAGTGCATAGTTATAAATTGATTTTTAGAGACCTGATTTACCTGCAGACCATGCACCGCCGCCTCCGCACCACCGCCTGGCCATGGCTGTGCGGTAGGGTCTCATTGGGCTCCTCCACCGCACGCCAGGGCTCTGAAGTCTGTGGAGTCCCTACAGCGCTGCATGCGACCCTTCTTCCCTCCCCCATACCCCAACCCCGCCATGGCCATGGCCCAGAGAAAGGATGTCTTTGGGTGGGGCCACGGAGTGGCGAAACAAGTCGCGGGGAACGGCCGCCCAGTGTAGCAAGCTCGCCCGGCATCAAGTAGCCAAGAATCGTCGATGCTCACCATCAACTAGATCTTCTCGATCGCGCCATGGCGACGGCGAGATGATGGGGAGGACGACGGTGACAAAGCGGACCCACATGGCGGCTAGGTAACATGCGGGTTAATGGTGGTGCGACGTGCGAGGAGGATAGCCACCCAGTGCGGCAGCCAGCGATGTAACCGGTATTCCACGATCTTCTAATCGCTTCGTTTGTCCCGGAGATGTGGGTTGAGAAGGGTCGACGGCAATGGGATAGTTGAGGATGGCGCACCGCGGCGGGAGGTTGAGGGCAAAGTGCGACGCGGTGGTGGGGATCGATGGCGGCACCGGGCAAGCTTGGGATGAGGAGCCACGCCAGACACGTAAGGAGCTGCGCAGACGAGGGGAATGATGATGAACCGAAAAAGATCATGGCCTCGTGGGTGGGATAGTGGTTGGGCCTCGGCGAGAAATAAAAATGGGTCGGGCCGGAAGTTCGATAAACGAGTAGATGGCGTGTGCCTAGGTAATGAATAATATTGATTCAGTACCCAGGGTGCTGCATAGAATACCTATATAATATCTTCTCAAATCTACATCTAAATTATCAACATCTTCTATAAGAAAAAATATTTAAATAACCATAAAGCCTATATATGTTTCTATATTACACACTTTTATCAATGTTATTATATTGAAACTTAATAAAAGTAAACATACACATCGTGACAGTATACATGAGCCATAAATATACATATTATGTTTTAGTATATAAAAATATTTCCGTAACAACTCATAATTAATGATACTAACAAATTGTTTAATTTAAAAACATATTTATAAACGTGACATATAATTTATATATGTTGTTACTTTAGATATATTTATATATTTTAACTAAAATGTTTAATATAACTAAACCATTAATGAATATATAATTTCTTGATAGGAAAATTCAATCATCTTGAGAAGTGGGAGATGCCACTATTGGCTATATTTTTCCGACCTTTAATATTCCCTTAAAGTAAGTAGGCAATCATTATAAGGCTTGTATTCCTTTGGAACAAAGGAAAAACATAGGAATATTAGAGGATTTCAATTCTATAGAAAAGTTTCCTATACACCTCTTTGGAACAAATGATTGAACCCTATAAAATTCCTTAGGATTGCCATGGGATGCATGAAAACATAGGAATTTTAATTTCGAGGAAAACTAACAAGGGGTTGGACCCTTTCCTTTGTGTCTGTCTCTCTGTTCTGGTCCCTATATTTTTCCTGTGTTCTATTCAAAGGCTACATCAGAAAATTTCCAACATTATAGATTCCCGTAGGATTGTAAGTTTCGTGCAACTCTAATCCTGGGTTTTTCCTATTCCTGTGTTTTGAAAATCCTGCGTTCCAAAGGAGGCCTTAAATATTAATATCCTATTAAGCTTAGCACTGCTACCCCATCT